AATTTCGTAACTGGAACAAAGATGGAAGGGGTGTAACGGAAGATTTTTGATAAACTATTTTATAGGAGAGGCTTTTTATGAAAGTGAAACCTCAAGGGAGGTTTTTATGATTGTCAGAAACTTCAGGGAAGATTTTTATATTTTACCCTTGTTTTTGTAGCCATTCAGCCTTTAATGCTAGGTCGTGTGCTTCTTTAACCATGAAGATCACCTATAGGCTATAGGCCATTTTTTCTAGAAGGGATGGTTTCAGAAAGGGTCTATTTGGTCTATTTGGTTCCGAATCATAATCAAAATACTTTGAAAACCGACTGGAATAATCCACTCCCTCCACCTGTTTGGTTAAATTTGAATCGGAATCAGAATCCAAATTAGTTGAAATGGATTCTCATTCCCAATAGAGGGGGAGGGAATAGGGAATGGCTATTCCCTGGAACAGGGAACGCCATTTCAAGGAATGGAATTTGATGATCGTGTTTTGGCAACTCCCGGTTGGCAGGTGACTCGGATGCCTAGTTGAACAATCCCTATCTAGAATATGCCTCGGATGCCTAGTTGAATAGTCTCTACCTAGAAGGTGGCTTGGATGCCTAACTGAACAGTCCCTACCTGGAATGTGGCTTGGATGCCTAGCTAAACAATCCCTACTTGGAAGGTGGTTCGGACGCCTAGCTGAATGGTGACAAGTTGTATAGCTTATTGGGGCATTTTGCAAGGAAACAGTGTTAGAGTGCCCGAGTTGCTTTACTTGGGGTGGGCACTCCGATGCTTAAATCAGCAAGTTGGAGATTTTTTGAGAGAGCTAAAAGTGAGATAGAGAGCCACGAGAGCTAAATTGTGCATATACCTTATGAGGTTGGAGGTAAGGCCTTTATATAGGCATTGTTTGGCATGGGCATCACGCACCGTGTCCGGGATCTCCGGGAAGACGTGCCTAACTGGTTCGAAGTCCTCGAAGGTAGTTGTGAACGTAGGCCAATTTTTGCGCCTTACTCGGTTTCCTCTGAAACATTCGGTGTGAGAGTTGACTTTCGAGAGACCCAAGAGTGACGAGATGCATGCAGAGTTGGTCGGCGAGCACATCTCGCAGGTAGCCACCTAGACCTCAATCAGGTCGGCAAGCCCTCGAGGGAGGTCACTCCTCACGTCGATGTCACTTCGATCGGTACTGATGAGGTACCACAGGTCGGCCCTGGACGAGGTGCTATTAGCCGTGTACGTCAGGGTGCCCGAGTTGTAGACGTGGTCGCCTGGTTGGCGGAGGCAAGTCGCCAGGTCAGCGGCAAAGGCAGGTCACCAGGTCGTCGACGGAGACAGGTCACTAGGTTGGTGGCAGAGGCAAGTAGGTCGCCAATTGGGACTCCATCATTTTGGCTAAGGCAAATCATCACGTAGGTGATGTTAGGGTGTCATCCAGCTATTCTGAGATGCCATGTGTCATGATATCAGTGGAGGGCCAAATCTGCCTTCATCATGTCCCAATTCCACCCAACCAAACGGTTGGAATCAAAATGAACCTAGATATCAAGCAACTTTCAGGTTCTCTGTTTCTAATAACAAGTTATTGCAAGCACAAAGTCTAGAAAACTTAGCAGTATAATCATACACAAACTAGTTACCTTCCCCACAGTTCTGATATAGTAGCAGGAAAAAGTACTATTCATAGTCTGTTGGTAAAAATCTTCCCGTAAATAACTACAACAGTTTTGGCCATGGGTGTAACAGGGGCCTTCCTCCATGTTGTCGATCTCTTTGTGATTGAGCCTACCAAATTGCGACCCTACTCTTCAATGGAAATGCAACTAGTTTCACTAGCTTATTCCCATCTGTAAATTCCACCCATCCTGTCGCCAAATCGTTCAACTTCCATGATCCAATCCAAAAAAGTCTTGGATGTGATGTGCAAGTTTCCATTGAAAACAGGGATATCCGCTCTCAGCCTGTAATCCACATAGTCTCGGTTCCGCCTCATCTGATCCATCTGGACATCAAAGGCAAGTAAGTTGTTGTTCAGGACGGGTTGGTGCCGTTGGGCTGGGGCTTCTACCGGCTAAATTAACTTCTAAGTTCTCACTTTCTGGGCCTTGAGTCTTGATTTCTGACACTCAAATTGGTCCATGAAATCTTCAGCCTGCTGTCCTATGCCATTGGGCTTTGCAGTTGGATTTTTTTTTTTTCTGGCTTTTGTGCGAGCTTGGATAATTGTGCAGTTTAATGGAGGCCATTGTTGATGCTTTGGTTTTTAACTTTTCATACAAAAAATGCTTCTGAATTTGTTTTATAAACTTTTCATAAAAAAGGGCCAAGGTGGGGGTATGTCTTATTATATACCTCAAGTAATTAAGGTTTGTATGCTTGCTCCTTTTGTTGCAAGTGATTGCTTTCTAGGTTGTTTCCTCCTTTTTGGCATGTTTATATTATATCTTCATCGCCGTTTGCAAAGCTTTATTAGGAATTAATTAGGATATCTTGATGAGGTAGGACCCAAATAAAAGAATCCGATTGGTTAGAGACAAATTCATGCATACAGGACTGGGTTATCTATCACAAGTGAATATACTAGTGTTCGGTACACACGGGCCCATGTGGGACTCACACCTTATGCATATGGAGACCTGCCTTGTTCACTCTTAGGTACCCCATCCCAATGTGCATAATTTTATTTCCAGCCAATCTTGACTCTCAAATAAATGTCTGTTTATCCTAGAATCCATTGGAAACCAAATGGCACAGAAATAACATGTATGTGGAAACTGTTTTTACAAGGAAGAGGGAAATGCCAATGTTCATTTACGGAAACACCTCCCACCTTATAGTTTCTGTTTTAGTAAAACACCCCTTATAGTTTGCAATTGGTTTACTATCGATCTTCCATTGGATGACAGTGGAAATTGACAACTTTAACCCTAATGTCCATTTGAATAAATTCAATAGAAAAGAAAATGAAAATATCATTTTTGCCCCTAGTAAGATACGAGCAACCACTCTATTTGGCTCTATTTGGTCAATTTTGTTTTTTGTTTTTGTATGAAGAAGTATTACATGTACTTTTGGAATAAACAACATGGGACCATGCTCTTAATATTTTCCACTCAATTTAGGTTATAATGTTACAATTTTCAGATGGAAAAAACAAACACTTATTATTGAAATGTCAATTAAGTAAATAGGTTGCAAACTATAGGGGTGTTTTAGTAAAATGAAAACTATAAAATATATTTAAGTAAATCCATGAAACTATAGGGGTGTTCTAGTAAATGATCCTATTTTTTAATGGTATAGAAACTTAATATCAATATTATTCACTTTTTAGGAATAGGAAAAATCTATGATATTTTCAGAAATACATGATACCCTAATAGCGTTGACCAATCAAAACCCCTCATGAATTTTGGTAAAAGGGTAACTAGTCTATAAGAATCATGGTGTATAGGTAGGGGTGTAAACAGATCAAATTCGAATCGTATCGGGCAATTTCTAAATTTGAATCTGATTAGAAAATCCGATATTTGAATTCGATTCGATATCTGATGGATATTGAAAATTAATATTCGAATTCGAACAATTAATTGTTTTAGGTAATTAATAAATATATAAAATAAATATTTTATTTATATAAAGTATATAAATATATAATTATTTGTATAATTTAATTATTTTATATATAAATTATATAAAACATTTAAAATTTATATATTATATGTAAGAATTAAATACTCAGTTGAATTCAGATATTTATCGAATTGAATCAGGTCATATCCAAATTCGATTGATTAGATATTCGAATTATCCGAATTCGATTCTATTATATCAAATCTCTAATTCGAAAGATTAGGTCATCAACAGGGATCCAAGGTCATAAATTGTCAGGCATGTCGATATAGTGGGGTTGTGTGATCACCATTTGTTCTTATAACATAAAATCTACGGTATTTTCAACAAACTATTTGCCTTGATAAAAAAAAAAAGCACTTGATTAATTACCACTTCATGATAACGGTTGATTGGTTAGAAGTTTTCCCAGTATTATGTCTTTCAAATTCGGATTTGGTCCTCACAGCCCCATGCAACTGTGCATTGGGAATATTTCTCCATGAATAAAAATATACAAGCATGTTCCCAAATGCACAGCTGCAAAAAGGCTGTGAGGGCAGTGTGAGGATCAAATCCAGCCTCCTGTCTTTTCAGTATCATAGCCAAACCCTTATGAATATTATGTGTTGTCAATTTGTAGGACCAATTGCAGACATCAACATTGAAATGCACTTAATTTTACTAGAAAAATTCTCTTGATGATATGTGTATATTAATTTTCAAGTATATGACTTCATCCCATATTGACTGGGATTAGACCCTAGGTACAGAAAACACAATCTTAACTCATAATGGAAATTAAGGTAATTAGTGAATATGGAGGATAATCGAGTTACTGAATTACAAATGGAAACCGGGTGACTAAACATAAAGGGAGGACCTATACTCCATACAATATCCCCATTTATTTTTCCCACCAGATGAAGTCATTATCTTGTCTAATTAACTCCAACTTTCAGAGCAATCTTTGCTTGCAATCGTAGAAACAAGGTTTTAGCTGATATGGTGCATATTTAAAAATTGTCCTGTAGAAGCAAAATATGCTTTGAGCATTATAGAACTAAATTACCATCTAAATGTGTGTTTCCTTTGTGCAGACATGGGTAATTTCTTAATATACCAGCATTGACAAAATGCCAAGAATATTGCATTTTCCCATGAACAAACCTCAGTAAAATGAGCCCATGAGGAAGCAATATTCATCATCTGCATATTAGTAGAGAAAGTTATATTCTTAATGCCATCCATGATCCATCTATTCTACCCAACACAATAAGTGCTTGTGTTATCATTGTTACTTTTATTTTACTTCTTTTTTTGTGATTTACTGCCTCTACAGTTGAAAGGAAAAGTAGAAAGCTAAAAAGCTATAAGGAAAGAACAATCATATTCCACTAAAAGCCTGCTTTAAATGATCAGTTTCATTTATTCTTGTCAAACTTAACATATACAAATAATATATGCATTTCAAGGGAGAAAACTTGTTACAAGTATAGGATTCTGCACTGTACACACAACAATTAAAATAGTTGGTGTTAAACATGCATTTATGTGTTAACTCAGCTTTACAATAAATTAATAAACCAATGCCCACTTTCTGATTAGATCTTCATTAAACTAAAATTATGTCAAACTAAAACAGGGATCAGACTGGTAAGTTGAGAGTACTCTACAAGTCTGGATATGCTCTCACAACATCTATAATTGGAGCTCGGCATATAGGACATCTCCCACTACTCCACTGCAATTCATGAGCACACTTGAAACAGGTGCACATGTGCCCACATCTGATGAACATGAATAAGATATTAGTTGACATAAAAAATATTAAGGCTAGGTGGACTTTTTTCTGTTCCAGGGAGAACAACAATTATTTCACGAGTACCTGTACAAAAGTGAGTCCACCTGCATCTCATAGCAGATGCAGCAACTGCCTTTCCTAATAGTTTCCCAATTAGATGACTGTTTTGCTTCCCCTCCTTGACCTGCAATTTTTATTTTAGGATTACATATTTAATGATAATAAACCAGAAATTTTCAGTGTAACAAATATATGTATGAACAGGGCAAGTTTGTTTATGCTCAAATTACCAGAATGGCATGCTGCAGATGAAACATCTTTCTTAATGGAGTGTTGCAACTTCAGTTGCATGTTCATGCAACATTCTACTGATTTTCGAAGTTCTGACATCTCATGATGGAGCTGTTCCATATGCCCTCTTAAATCAAATATGAGTTCCATCTCCTATAACAATGGGGGGAGAAACATTATTTAATTGAACTAAAAAGTAAGGACCTTCACACAGTATTCATTACTAAGGTGCCGAAGGGAAACTGACCAGAGACTGATGTACTGTTGATGGTGAACCCTCTGCACTGTCTTGGTAGTAAGACCTAGTTACTTGAGGATGTTGTAATGACAGAGATGCAATATGGCCAGAATCACCACTGGCTTCATGATCTTGATACCAAATTCTAGATCTCAATGCAGATGGTAAAGGTAGTTGCAATGATGTTGATGCCACTTGATCAAAAGCGCCCCCCTCTTCATGATATTGATGCTCAATGTGATTCTCTTCTTCCTCTTCTGCATCCTCTTCTTGCCTTTGCCTTTGTAATTGGGAGATGATGATTTGTTCCATTGTGATCCGGAAATCACTAGAAAGAAGACCTGTCACACTTCTTCTGCATGGATTAAAAAAATATACATGAATCACTACAAAAAAAACAGTAGAATATTTTTTTATCTATGAAAGCCATAGCAAGAACTACAAAGGGTATTTTGCCCAAATAGTTACTAAGTCTAAGTTGGGCTTTTGACTTTGAAAAAAGAGACTTAAATGTATACTTTGAACTTGTAACGAACCTTATAATGAATTTAAGGAGAATTCAAAAATTTTAATGTAGATCATTAATAACAAACCTTTCCTTTTAATTTGTAATATCTTAACAAGAAAATAAAATCTTGAACTTAGGAAGGATTGTGTCCTCGTTGTTCATGTGAGTTATCCATCTTTTTCATCATTTTTCATTTTCAAATTGTGAGTGCTAATCCAAAATATCCTACATCCATGTATCAGAATTTTAGCCTGGTTAGTGGTTCTGAGTTGTAACAAAACATGATATGTTTGTGGCATATTTCTGTTGAAACTGATTAACACTTGTACTTACCCTGGCCTAGTTGGGAAAGACATTAAGTTATTAGTCCTCGATAGAATCAACAAAGTGAAGTGGAGATTGCCAAAAATGGTGAATGAGCAGAAGGATGTTGGGCTCATTTGTGATCAAGAGATAGTAAATTGTTTTCCATTAATTAATAAACACTAGCTGCTTGAGAATTCTTTAAGGAACAGTAAAAACATGAAGACATTAGAGAGAGAGAGAGAGAGAGAGAAAGAGAGACTTCAAATACCTTTGAAGAAGATCTTGAAGCTCCAAATTTTCTGAATCATTCTCATGTATTTCCTGGTATGGCGCTGCTTGTCTGTCACTTTCCCCATCCGTCGGTGGATCACTTAGCAAGGTTTCATCAGCGGATCCTACAACCTGGTGTTCATCAACTTCTGATTCTTGTATTACTATATTCCCTTCCCAACCATGTGACATCGTTGCTGTCTTTACACTCTGTTTCTGTTCAATATTGCTAACTGCTAAGCTTGCATTGTTCCCAGTGACATCTGAACTTTGATCAGCTTCTTCTTGTTGACCTGCACTTCTAGATGATGTTGACAACAGGGATTTGTTTTTCTGGCAACGTGCTTGTCTGCAACCTTCCTGATCTCTATATGAATTGGAAGTATCATTTAGCCAGGTTCCATTAGTGGATCCTACCATTTGCTCTCTTTTAGAGTTTGGCTCTTCTATTACTATATTCTGTTCCAAATTATTGGAAGTTGTTGCTGTCTTTAAATTTCCTTGCTGCTCAAGATTGCTTACTGCTGAGCTTGTCTCTTGCCAGGGAGCTTCTGAACTTTGATCGACTTCTTGTTGATTCACACTCACAGAGGGTGTTGGTAAAAGGGCTCTGCTTTCCTGATTGGTTGTAGGTACTTCCTGATGATGAATTTCTTCAATCAGGAGATGATTAGAAATACCAGAATGCTCTGAATCCAATGAGTTATTTGGAATCTGTGAATTAGAGCTTCTCAAGTTATCTCCTTGATTGGCAAGCACCCCACCATTCCACTCAGTTCTTGGATTAAATCTTTCCCTGGTTCAATAAAGGCCCCATATTAATGGTGGAAGTGTACTACTAAGTCACTTACGAACCAAAAGAAAAGGTTGTTTCAATATAAAGCAAATAACCTATATATCCTGTACAAGTTGCATCACAGAAAGTAGAAAAAACTAGAATGTGATGAGTGGTTCTTGTGCAGCCTAATTCAATAATATGAGTTGTTACTATGGTTTCCAATGACATACTTATATTTATCCATTAATATTCAATCTAACGGGTGCAAGTTGCCCAGTAAAAAATAACATTAAGTTCAATAGCAAGAAGAACATGAATATCTATTTAAAGGAACTTAAGGGTAGGATGAACTATATTTAACCAGAAATTGCTGTTATTTATCATCCAAGGTTGGAAGGCTTAATGAACCAAACATGATGAGCCACCATGTACTCAATTAAACCTGTATATTTCCCAAATAAACCTTGTTCATGTTCCCACTAATTTTTGAGCTTAGGACTTGGCCTGACAATTAGACACCCCTAATTGGGACCATTCCATAGTTGAATTTCTTTTCCATGATTGTAGCTGATTTTTCTTAATTATTAAGAGGAAAATACAAGTCAGATGGCTTCTTTATATGATTTATCTTATTTTTAGCCCTGGAAAGCTTTGGGTGGATCATAGGTATTGATTTTAGTTATTGATCCATCAATACAAAAGAACTAGATATTGTGCTTATTTACAATTGCTGTCCATGCTATAACTCAAGTTGCAGATCTACCTTAGTCCCATAAAGGGAATTGAAACCGATGGCTTAATTAAATTGTGCAGGTATCTCTTTTTTGTTTTTTTGGTAGTTAATAATAAAGAATTTTCGTTTATTTAAGAAAAAAAAATCCTGCTATCAACAGCTGTAGATGGTAGGATACTGTTATGGGCCCGCGAATAGGATCTCATCACGGGTCGGTCCACGGGGAAAACCTCCTGTTTTCCCTTGTTCCTCCCTTTCCTTGAAGAACCTATCTTGCTGCCCTAAAGGTGATTTGTTCAAGAGATCACCCTAACTCTCCTTT